CTAATTGGTTTACCATGTTGTTCATATCCTCCATTTCCTTATTGGCTTTTTGTCTAGTTGTTCTGTTAAAAGTGAGTGTTAAATTCTCCAAGTATTAGTGTTGAACTATGAATTCTTTCAATTGTTTTCTTTTCATTATTATTGTTTGGATACATTATTGTAGCTTCCTGACATTAATATCTTACAGCTTATTTTATTTGATACTTGTATAGCCAGTTTTAACTTTTTTTTTTTTGTAAATCATGGGACTTGAACTCCAGGCCTGAACGCTGTCCCTCTAAAGCACTCCCGGCTTTAACATATTTTTAGCTATTCTTTTTCTGTCTTTTGACTTTCTATACCTCTAGAGTGAATGCAAGTCCCTGGTAGATAACATACAATTGGATTGCTTTAAAAACTATTTTGAGCTGGGCATACCTGTCATCCTAGCTACTCAGGAGGCTGAGATCTGAGGATCACAGTTCAAAGCCAGCCCAAGCAGGAAAGTCTATGAGACTCTTATCTCCAATGAACTACCAGAAAACCAGAAGTGGCGCTGTGGCGCAAAGTGGTACAGCACTATCCTTGAGCAAAAGTGCTCAGGGACAACACTCAGGTCCTGAGTTCAAGCTCCACAGCCTGGGCACTGTCCCTGGGCTCTTTTCTTGCTCAAGACTAGTGCTGTACCACTTTGAGCCACAGCACCACTTCCAAATGCTGTCTTTTAATTGGAGAAGTCCATTCATGTGCACTAACACAGCTGCTGACAAGGAAGCACATGTTCTTCTTCCACTCTCTAATGTCTTACACTTTTATTCCTCAATTCCCCTCTACTGCTTCCTTCCTAAGTGCTCCAAAAGTACCTCCTAGCCTACTATTTCCTTCTTTCTCCTTTCTCTTGCTATACATATTTTTTTTGAGGGGGGAGGGGTTAGTTGTGGGGCTTGAACTCTGGGCCTGGGCACTTTCCCTCAGCTCTTCAGCTCAAGGCGAGTGCTCTACCACTTGAGCCACAGTGCCACTTCCTTTTTTTTTTTTTTTCTTCTGGTGGTTAATTGGAGAGTCTCAAGAACTTTCCTGCCTGGGCTGGCTTTGAACTGTGATCTTCAGATCTCAGCCTCCTGAGTAGCTAGGATTACAGGTGTGAGCCACTGGCACCCAGCTCTTGCTATATATATTTTTTTAAACTTTTTTTTTTTTTTGCCTTAGGTTTCCCTGAGGATTACAATAAATGTTCTAATGTGACAGTTAACTCCATTTGCTAATTTCATGGAGAGAGCCCAAGGTGCCAGCTTTTGACAGAAGTTGCCTTGAAGGTATTTCTTAAATGTGATTAGCATTTAAATCAGATTTTAAGTGGATTACTGACCATGTACCCACTCTTCCAGTAATCTTCCTAGACATTAAATCAGCCTCAGGGTAGAGAAGACAGGTCCTCAGAGGAGAAAGCCTTTGGATTTGAGACTGCAACATTGACTTTTCCCTGGATTCTAGCCTGCCATCACTCTTACAGAGTTTGGACTTGCCAGCCCTACACTCACCCAAGCTAGTCCCTAAAATTAATAGTGCTCTTTCTCTCTCTAGTCTCCTACTGTTCACAGATAAAGCCTTGTCATAAGCCAGCAGTGAAGGGGTAGGGATGTGTGTATGTGTGCCAGACTGGAACTTGAACTCAAGGAATAAGCAGTTTTCCTAAGCTTATTTTGCTCAAGGTTGGTGCTCTACCATTTGAGCCACAGCTCCATTTTCAGCGTTTTGGTGGTTAATTGGAAAGTCTTATTAACTTTCCTGCCCCAAATGGCTTCCAGACTGGTTCCTCAGATCTCAGCCTTCTGAGTAGCTAGGATTATTGGTGTGAGTCATTGGAGCCCGACTGAAGGTGCTACACAGTGTCTCATTACTTCATGTGATTAACATAATGTATAGGGCATAGCCATCAAGGTGGCTTTGGTTGAAATCTGGTGTTAAAGGAGAGCCCTGCACCAGGGAACTGTACCAGTTTCCTTATATATCAGTTGGGATGCTGTCACAATGAAGGACATAAAGTAGCCTGATGGAACAATGCTTTGATAATGGTACTTCCCATTATTAGCTGTCATGGCAGTCAGCCAACCTGAAAGCTTTAGGCACAAATACTACAATGCAAAGACTAGGTAAGAAGGTTGGCCAATGATACTTGGATTCAGATCAAGGCAAATGAGCTAGGCCAAGGTCAACAGGACTGCCTAGGTAAGCTCTCAGGTTTTGTCGTCAAAGGGGGTGGCAGACTTTTAGTTGTGTTATGCTCTGATGACTGGAAGAAGCACTGGCTGGGACAGGAAGAATTTATTCTGAATCCTAGCACCATAGTGATGAGCCCTTGAAGATTACAAAGAAATTGTGAGAGGCAACATTCTCACAATCACTCATAGTAATGGCTCAATGAGAGTCCATCCATCCACCCACCTATCTCCTCAGCCTCAGTGATAGCCCGAGAACATTGTTGTCAAGTGATAACATCACAATCCAAATCAGAAATTTCTGTTAGGAGTTTCAGAGTTCAGCTCCTCATTATCTCTGGCCACTAAGTAGAGACACTAATCTGGAAATCCTGGTTGAGAAAGTGGCCATTGTGGTTTCCTTTGGGAGGGGAAACGAGGGAAGATTTCCTTGCTCATACTCCTGTGGCTCTCTCAGTTCCACATGCTCCCCAACACATTGCAGGTCCCCTCAAGGACCTCCACCTATCCCAGGCCCAGCAGGATAGGGTATGGCTTTGGACATCTCATGTGCTAATGGCTTCTGAGCCTCAGTGCTTGCTACTTCTATTATCAGAACCCTCAGAGAGGGTGACTCTTCCATGGCCTGCATTCTGCTAAGTTTTGTGCCAACTGGTGCTATGACTCTACCCATACAAGGTTTGGACTACTTCCACAACTGTCTTCATCCCCTTCCAGGGCTAGTAGACATTATCTTCAAGTCTCTGTGGCTTGGAAGGATCCCGATTCACCATGAGTTCATTAACCATGAGTTTATTAACCAGAGGCAAAAGCTTCCATTGTCTTTTATCAGTTTTTTTTTTCATTTTGTTTTTGGTGCTGGTCCTGGGGCTCGAACACAGGATCTGGGTCATATCCTTAGCTTTTTTTTTTTTTCCTTTTTGTCAGTCATGGGGCTTGAACACTGGGCCTGGGTGCTGAACCTGAGCTCTTCAGTTCAAGGTGATTGTTCTATCACTTGAGTCATAGCACCACTTCCGGTTTTCTGGTGGTTTATTGAGATGTGTCTCATGGACTTTCCTGCCCGGGCTGGCTTTGAACTGTGATCCTCAGATCTCAGCCTCCTGAGTAGCTAGGCATGAGCCACTGGTGCTTGGCTCTAGCTTTTTTGCTCAAGGTTGGCTCTACTTCAAGCCACAGCTCCACTTGTGGGGTTTGGGTGGCTAAATGTCCATAAGTCTCACAAATTTCCTTGCTGGGGCTGGCTTCGAATATAGTTTCTCTAACTTCAGCCTCCTGAGTAGCTCAGATTATAGACATGAGCCACTGGCACCTGGCCACTTTATTTTTATGGTGACCCTGGGGTTTGAACTGAAGGCCTTTGCTTGCTAAGCCATTGCTCTAGCACATGAGCAACTTTGTTAGGCCAATTTAACTTTTCTTTATTGGACAGAAATACCAGAGGTTGAACCTACTGGTTGCAGCCACCCAAGGTGGCAGAAGAGCTCCAAGGTGCATCTCTTCTCAGCCATGTAGAGCAAAGGCATCTTCTGCTTACCAGGCAAGGGCAGAGGGCCGCAATGACAGCAGGGAGCACCATACAAAAGTTCCCAAGACCTCAGTTCCAAAGTGAGACTGCAAGGCCTCCTCCACTGTCATGTACAACAGAAGACAGTGAGATGGGACAAGGGCTGTCTGTGGAGAGGACACTCACTTCTTGAAGCTTCTTTGGCTCCTAACACACAGGCTGGCTCCTCGTGTGACAGTGCTACCTTGTTCTCTAAGCATTTTTTCCAGCTCTGGCTGCGCAAGAGTCTCGAAGCCTGTTCTATCATGAAGACTTCTAGGGCCAGGCTCATCTAGACAAGGGCATTTTCCATCATTACTGAAGTTTGAAGACTTAGGGGATGGGGCTACTCCAGATGTTTTCTCATGAGTAAAATTCGGTGGGTAGGCCTTGCTGGGTGGGTGAGTGCAGAGAATTGTGCAATTACCAGATTTGGCTGCTTCCAGAAACACAGAGGACCCCAGGCCTGTTGCTGCTCAGATTGTGACAGGCCGAAAGTAAACGTTTAAGCGTTTGTTTGTGGGAGGAAAAGTCATCTCTGTGAGAAATCCTACCATCATCTATGAGCTCAGAGGGAGTCACTGGTCCACCACAGGGACCCAAGGCTCCTGTTTAATAAACTCTAAGGAACACTAATAAACTTAGAGGTATGGTTTCAAGTGGTAGAGCATTTGCCTAGCAAGTGAGAGGCAAATCACAGTGCTGCTATTAAAGGGAAAAAAGGATAGTTCTAAATTCCACACTTTTAATTCAGGTACTCTTTAGAACTGACAAAGTTCACCCTTTGCAACCTAACAATCCAGTGTGTGGGGCTGCACACACTGAGTTCTAACAAAGGAGCAAAGCCATACCCAGCGACAAAAGTCACTTCCACCCCTGGTGAGTTGTGGCCTGCACTTTCTCCCCTGTCCTGAGCTTCACATCCTCTCCTGCCTCAGCCGAGAGACTCATCTTTCAAGGGGCTCTGATCAGTTGTCAGAGCAGGGGATTTCACAACTAAGAAGTACTCCTAAGGAGCTGCAGAAGAAACGACATTAACGAGCTGGCAAACATTTCCACATCCACCACACACCAATTCAACTTCCACTATTTTATTTTAGTTATAAAACAATTGCCAAAACACAAAGTTAAAAAACAAACAAACACACAGTTTTATTCCTTCTTTCATTGTAGAAAATAAATATGACCACATACTCCTTACACTTGTCTATAAAAGCAAGTAAAAAACACCACTCACTCACTCAAATAGCATCATCCTTTTGGCTTTTCGCCTGTAGGAATGAAACAGTAGATCATTTTGTAACTCATTTGAATTCCTGGCTCAAGCAACTCTGCAAAAAAGCTAAGATCTTAAAAAAATCTTATTCCAAGTGTAGTTAAAATAGTTACACTAAAAACCAATAGTAACACCATAACTAGGTCTTGCTTGCTTTATTTAAGAGGAGAATACTTTCTTTTATAAAAATTGCCCCCTAAACTCACAGGTACCCAAACCAATGTAAAAAGTTGGTTTATATTCCTAGGAATCATCAAGAAGAGCGGGTGTGGAGAGGGAGGGATGAGACACATGGGCTCCAGTCAAGTATATCCAGTCATTCTTGGGCACGTGACTCCTCCTGGCACCCATACCCAGGCTTCCAGTTTGGCCCTTGGCAGTTTACAAAAGGAAAGCTGCTCAGTCATCTAAGCCTATGTTTCTGAAAAGGTAAGACATGGACTCCCCATTGTGAATGCGGCGAATGGCTTCTGAAAGGATCATGCTGATGTCCACGGTTTTGATCTTGGGGCACTGGAGCTTCTGGATTTCATGTGGGATTGTATTGGTAACCACCACCTGTGAATCACAAGAAACCACCAAGAGCATCAGACGCTAAGTGGCTTCAGACCTGAGGGTGTGGCTTATGGCAGAGCGCTTGCCTAGCAAGTATGAGGCCCTGGGTTCATCCTCAGCAGAAAAGGAAAGCCATAATTGTTCTGCAGTACTAGCTGGCAGGAGGACATAAGTCCATCTTACCTTCAGCAAGACTCCCAGCAAAGAGAAACTGTGTTTCTTACAATTAAAGCAGATAACCAGTGCTGGGGAGTCTGGAGAGAAACCTGCACCACACCCTGCTGGTGGGCCTGTGAAATGGGGCAGTGCACCAGAGCATAGTCCGATGGTTCCTCAGCAATCTGAATGGAGATTCTTCAACTTTTTAAGCTCAGGCTAGCCTCAAACCCTGATTCCCTGATCTGTTTCTCAATTATCCAAGAGATTGAACCACTGCATGCAGAAAACTTCTACTTTTAAAATGTAGCAGTGCTAGAAGCTCATATTTAATGAAATACAAGTACAACCTATGTTTTGAATTCATTATTTTTTTAAACAAGGGAGGGTCATTGTGAAACTTCACATTTATACAATGTATCCTGATCAATCTCCCCCTCTGCTGCTCTCCTTCATCCCATTCCTTCCCCCACCCTCTTCTTAAAAAACTTTCAACACATTACATTCATCATACTGAATCCATTCTAAATCACAAGCAAGCTCAATCTTATACTCAATGCCTTTAACTAAGGACTGAAGAGTGCCCTGGGAACCCTGCCCCCACACCACCAGGTCTCACTACCTCGTCAATGGCAGACTCTTCAATCAGCCGGGGGGCATCTGAAGATAACAAGCCATGGGTCGCCATCACAAAGATCTTATATGCTCCCCTCTCTTTCAGGGTCTCTGCTGCGGCGAGAAAGCTGTCCACATCATCAATGATGTCATCCTGTCAAGTCACAGGTAGAATGAAAGGCACATGAATACCTACCAAGCAGGCAAGACAACCAGGAGAAAGTATCTAAGTGTGCTATTCAGTCTTGATGCAAGCTGATGACAAGGTGACACTGTCCATTACTGTACTCCACAGGCCCGTCCATGCCTTTCCCACAAGTCACTTGCAGGCTCCATGGGGAAAGTACTGTTTCCATCCCTACACCTAGTAGTGGAGGCCAGATCTCTGTGCCAGGAACATCTGTGGGATAACTTTGAAATGTGTAACAAAGGCTCTAGATACTTTCACTTAAGGTAATGGAACTATAAACTCTGGCTTTCCCAAACTTTTTCCTGCTACTGTTCCTTATTTCTAAATCCTCTCTATTGAATGTTTGGAAAACAGCCCCCTTTTTTTTTTGGCTTGTGCCAGTAGTTGGGGCTTGAACTCAGAGCCTAGGTACTGTCCCTCAGTTTTTCTGTTCAAGGCTGGAGCTCCACCACTTGAGCCACACTTCTACTTCCAGCTTCTTGTTGGTTAGAGCTGAGTCTCACAGATTTATCTTCCCTGGTTAGCTTTTTGAACCTTGATCCTCAGATCTCAGTCTTCTAAGTGTTGAGGATTACAGGCATGAGCCACTAGCATCTGGTAGGAAATAGCCTTTTTACCTATGTCCTCACAGTGAGACAAAAGGATTTAGTTTGTATGTTGTCTAGAGTAGTCAAACTCCTGGGCTTGAGTGCTTCTTCTGCTTCAGTGTCCCAAGTAGGTCGGAAATAGCACATGCTAGCCAACTACTGTTTTCTCTTTCTTTCTTTCTTTCTATTGTGAAAATACTGTACAGAGGGGTTACAATTACATGGGCAAGATAATGAGTACATTTCTTATCAAGCATTGTAGCCTTTCTTTTCTCTCTTTCTTCCTCTTTCTTTTTCTCTCTCTTCTTTCTCTCTCTTTCTTTCTCTCTCTCTCTCTCTCTTTCTTTCTCTCTTTCTTTCTTTGCTGTCCTGGGCCTCTGTCCCAGGACTATGCAAGGCTAGCACTCTACCACTTGAGCCACAGCACCACTTCCAGCTTTTTCTGAATAGTTTAGCTGAGATAAGAGTCTCATGGACTTTGCTGTCTGGGCTGGCTTTCAACTGCAATCCTCAGATCTCAGCCTCCTGAGAAGGTAGGATTATAGGAGTGAGTGAGCCACCAGCTCAGCTACTGTTTTCTAGTAAGACACCCAGCCTAGTACTTCCAAAGAGCAGACCACAGACTCCAGCTCTCCTTTCAACCAGTATTGAATGTTTAGGTTTATTTTATTTTTTCCAGTCCTGGTGTTGTCCTTAAGCTGCTGCTTCTTTTTTTTTTTTTTTTGCTCAAGGCTAGCACTCTACAATTTGAGCCACATTGCCACTTCCAGCTTTTTCTGTGTATGTGGTACTGGTACTGAAGAATTGAACCCAGGGCTTCATGCATGCTAGGCAAGCACTCTACCACTAAGGCACATTCCCAGTCCCACTTAGGGTTATATATTCAACTTTCTAAATGTATGCTAATCGTACTGTGATTAAAACATACATGTATATATTATCTTAAAGATGCTACTGGGAAAGCAGTATAACCACTCTGAGAAAGTTTGAATTTCTTTTTGACAGGGCTGACATCAAATAGCAGTCAGTTATTAAGTTAGCTTCCTTCTTTCCCCTTCCTCTTTTGCTATTCTGGGGATAGAATCCAGGGCTTTAAGTACCCTACCACTGAAGCTACTCACCCAGCCATTTTAGTTTTAGTTTTAGTTTTTGTCAGTCATGGGGCCTGAACTCTGGGTCTGGGCACTGTCCCTCAGCTCTTCAGCTCAAGGCAAACACTTGAGCTACAGTGCCACTTTAAGCTTTTTCTGCTTATGTGGTGCTTAGGAATCAAACCCAGGGCCTCATGCTTGCAAGGGCAAGCACTCTACCACTGAGCCAACTTCCCAGCCCCCATTTTAGTTTTTGAGATAAGGTCTTGCTCACTTTTCAAAGCCACCTTCTAGGTAGGCCTAGAACTTCTTCCTGTCTCTTCCTCTCCAGTACTTGGGATTACAGGTGTGTGCCACCACAGCTGGCTAGCAGTTGCTTGTAAAACTAAACTTTCCTTAGCTTCCCTCATGTAAACCAATAACTGCCTTTGAGGGGATAATAGCCCTTGTGGGTTAATAACTCAGTGTACTCTGTTCACACAAAAACTCATAAGAACATTCATGGAAGTTTTGCTTATAAAATTGGAAATAATCCAAATGTCCCTTAACCAACAGTTAAATGGTGGTAGCTATGAGCATAGACTATTGCTATACTTTAAATAGAACGACCTAAAGGAAACCATGCTAAATAAAAAGAAGTTAATCTAAGATGGGCGCTGGTGGCTCACCCTGTAATCCTAGCTACTCAGGAGGTTGAGATCTGAGGATCACAGTTCAAAGCCTGCCTGGGCAGAGAAGTTGTGAAGACTGTTATCTCCAATTAACCACCAGAAAACTGGAAGTAGGGCTGTGGCTCAAAGTGGTAGAGTGCTATTCTTGAGCAAAAGAGCTCAGGGACAGTGCCCAGGCTCTGAGTTCAAGCCCCATGACTGACCAAAAAAAAGTTAATCTCAAAAGTAAAAAAGACTATATATTTCCTGTATAAGACATTTGTTATTTGTCCCTTTTTTTTTTCCTTGAACTGGCACTGAATCTAGGATACTCACACAGGCGAAGTGTGTATTTGAGCTACACTTCCAGCCCTGCTATTTGCCTGAATCAAGAGCTACAGTCAGAGGATAGGTTAGTGGATACCACCGTCACACAGGTAATCCTCTATGATAATGTTTAAAAACATGTTTAAAAGTCATGAGGGCTGGGCACCGGTGGCTCACGCCTGTCATCCTAACTACTCAGGAGGCTGAGATCTGAGGATCGCGGTTCAAAGCCAGCTGGAGCAGTTAAGTCCTTGAGACTCTTATCTCAGCTAAACTCCTCAGAAAAAGCTGGAAGTGGCGCTGTGGCTCAAGTGGTAGAGCGCTCGCCTTGATCTGAAGAGCTGAGGAACAGCGCCCAGGCCCAGAGTTCAAGCCCGACAAAAATAAATAAATAAATAAAAATAAATCATGAGATACACGCTATGTCACTTATGTAAACACCAGAATCACAGTATTTATGGACACATGCATTCACAGTAGACTGCAAGGATTGTGTGGACACCTCTCAGACTAGTGACCACCTCTGGAAAAAGGAGAAGAGACCAAAGAAAGCCCAGGAAGACCTCCCAGCTCTTAATTTTATTCTTTCAACTGCATAGACATGTAAAAATGAGGTGTATGTTTTGTTTTGGGGTGGTGGGGATCATATCTAGGTCATCACTAAACTACTAATATATATATTTTAAAAGTTATAATTAACATTGTACCCTACCTTTACCATAAACAATTTCCCACAATATGACTGATAAAGAGCTCTATAACACCAAGTACTTACTCATTTTAAACCAATGAACAGCATTTTCTGCTGGGGGCTGAAGCAAACGTTCAGCACAAGACCTCAGCTTGAGACTGACGTTGTCAAGGCACTATCCTCAGGTATTTTTATGAAGACAATTTACAAATAAATGAACAGAAGAGCAATGGCAAACAATGATGTGGAGAAAATCAACAGGCCTACATACCACAATGATGGCAATCCTTCCTCCAACGTCGCCAACAACTGTGATGGGGGGCTTCTCTTTAGGAATCAGCACTGGTCAGAATAAAACACACACATCTAAGTGTCCATGCTAAAAAGTAAAGACAAAGACTTCAAGAAGTTAATACTTCCAACAACCAGGAAGAAAGGGGAATTTCCTCACTCTGACAAAGGGCAACTATGGAAATCTACCATGTGACATGCAGTGGTAAGATGGCAAGCTGCTGCTTCTGAGAAGACGGAGACGATGCCCACCTGCTGGATGTGTGAGCAAGAGACATGAGGAAAGAACCAAAGAATAAAAGGCATCCAGATAAGAAAGGAAGAAGTAAAACTTCATTAGCAGACAACATGAAACCTCAGACAAACTACGAAGGTGAACCTATGAACTGAGTGAAGCTGCAGAGAACCTGATGAACACACAAAATCAGCTGTTTCCTTTATACACTTGCAGTGAGCAATCAGAATGCAAATTAAGAAGCAGCCTCATTCACATAAGCATCTAGGAATAAACTCAACTAACGAGGTAAAATTCACCTGAAAACTATAAACCACGTGGAAAAAATTAAAAAGAATGTTTTTCAATTTTACACTATCAGAAAAGCAACAAATAAAAAAATAAGTTGGGTTTTATCATCATTAAACTCTATCAAAAAAGTGAAAAGTGCCAGGTGCTGGTGATTCATCCCTGTAATTAGATTTGAGGATCCACAGTTCACAGACAGCCTGGTCAAGAATAACTGTGAGACTCTTTAAAAAAAAAATCTGTGAGATTCTTTATCTCCAACTAACCAGCAAAATGCCAGAAGTAGAGGTGTGGCTCAAGTGATAGAGAAAAAGTGGAATAGAAAAAGTCAAGCATGAGTGTGAACCCCTGAATTCAAGCCCTAGTACTGGCCCCCAAAATAAAGAGACAACCCAGAGAATGGAGAAAATGTGTAAATCACCTATGTGGTAGGAGTCCAGAACCCAAATTTTACACACACACACACACATACACACCACACACAAACACACATACGTATGTGTGTATATGTGTATGTAATGTGTATGTGTGTATGTATGTATACTCTTATAAGTTAACAATGAAAAGAACCCAATTCAAAAATGGGTAAAGGCTTTGAATAGATATTTCTCCAAAGAAGTATAAAAACAGCCAACAAGCATATGAAAAGATGCTTGGCATCCTGTCATTAGGGAAATGTAAACCAAAACCACAATGAGATGCCATTTCATACCCACAAGGCTGTAAGAATGGAAAAAAAAAATCACAAGTAAGTGCTAGAGAAACTGGACCCCTATGTATCCCAGGAAGGAATGTAAAATGACAAAGCTGCTGTGGAAAACACTATCAGTTTCTCAAAAGGTTAAACACAGAATTAGCATCTGATCAGACAAGTCCACTCCTAGACACATAGCAAAAAACTGAGGCTGTCCACACAGACAGGAATGCACACAGCAACATTACACCGAAAAGGTAAAATGTCTGTCAACAGATACATAAGGTGGGGCTCTAGGGACTTGGGGGCAGAACCACTTCAAGGCTCTGCTCCTCACATTCTTGTGCCCTGCTCCTTGGCTGCCCACCCAAGGGTCAGGCTGCTTCTGGAAGGCCCAAGCAGTAAGCTCCACAGTGGTAGCCCCAATACAGTGCATCGCATCTCCATGGGTACATGGAGCAAATGGACCGTGAGCAGGACTACCTCCTCCCACAGTTCATGGGCTGTCTCCTAGAGCCTTGTGGCCCCAATAACAGTATCTGGAAGGTGGGACATGTAGATTCAATGCTATTTGTCCTGTTGGGTTTTGACTAGGTTAGGACCTGCTGCTTCTGTGACCTATTAACTCCTGCTTCTAGGAAAGTCTAGTGAGGCCTGGGCCTGCCTCCCCCTTGCATTTTAGAACCACCTCACTTGTTTGCTTTCACAGGGTTGGAGAAAGATTTGCTTTGGGAGGACTCTCTGAGAGGCCACCATGTCTGATTGGCTGGTGCTTCAATGAGACAGTGGACTTCTGGGTTGACCCTGGAACTAAGTTAAGGCATAACCGCAGTTTAGACTATGGCTCTGGGATGGAATGAACACAGACAGGAGGTTGGGGGCCAAAGGTGAAATGCTGTGGTCTGAACGCTTGTATCTCTACTGTTTCATGCTGAAACACACTGAGGTGGTATTAAGAGAAGGGGCCTGTGGTAGGGGTCTGTGTTACAGGCTGTCCTTGTTTAGGGATTAATACTCTGATAGAAGACTTGAAGAGCCTTCCACCCTCTTCTACCACCTGCTGATGGATGTGAGAGGAACAGGCTCTCACCAGATGCCACAGCTGCTGGCACAGTGTCCTGGGACTTTCCAGTCTCCAGAATCATGAGCATTAAATCCCTGTCATTAATAAATTACTCAACGGAAACTATTTGTCACAGCAGCCTAAGCTGCTATGCTATGTTACTGATGTGTAGATTTTCTCAGGTTTCTAGGCAGTCCCAATTATTTCACAAGCTGCAGAATTAGTGGTATTGATACCACATAGTTTACCAGCCCTACTCTCTGCTAAACTATCTAAAACTGCCCAATGTTTTGCATTATCTGTAACATGATGGTGAACATCTGCTTATGTCAAAGAGTATAGAGTATACTCTAGGATATACTGCTAAACCAGTGAACAGATTCCCTGAAGGGCCATATCAGAGTCTGCTAGAGAGCTCTACCACCTGAGGCCAGAACCAGTATATTCTTTAGAATCCAGGCAGGAAAAGAGTTCCAGTAGCTTTTGCCAACTCAAGCAAAAAGGAGTTTACATAAATTAAAAAAACAAACAAACTCAAAACAAAAAGCAAACCACAAGTCAGCCTAATAATCAGAGGACAGTGCTGAAGAGGTGCCCTTGGCACACTTACTGGGAATCTCCAGGCTGGGGTGAATGGCAGCCACACTCCGGACCATGGGTGGGGAATGCCGACCATCTACCAAGTCAGATTCAGCATCCTGGGCTTCTCCATGAATCACTGCGATGCCCAGGCGCAGGCGCTCTGCAAAAGATTGTGCCCTAAGGAGAAGCATTAAACACCAATCAATCATGTAGCATTTGTGGTCTGCAGTTTAGGGAGAGCATATGAAGATGAAAAAGTAGAATGTAGCTTTTAGAGGAATAATGAACAAAGAGAATAAAATAAGCTTAGAATCTGACAAGCCAGGGCTCAGTGTGGAGAGTCCACGGAACAATGCATCCCCTCTGGACACTGGCTCCAATGATGGGCAGAGGCCTGGCCTGGTCTGTAGTTATCCAGTTGAGAGCCTGACTTCTGAACCTGCTTCCTGTCACTGTTGATGTTAACTGCCCATAGGAGAACCAACCAAATAACACAAAACACATCAAGTATTTTGCATAAATTGTTAATAGTTTTATGAGTGCATAATGAAGATACAAGAAATTGTATAGTTAAGGTGAGCAATTTTACAAAATGTTAAGTTCTGATGCCCATGTAACCATCAAAATAATGAAGAACATGCCCTTTATAATTTCTGCTTCCAGCCAGGCAACCACTGATTTGCTTATTAACATCATAGTTTAACCTTCTCTAGAGTTCATACTATAAATTCTTTTTTTTTTATATATTTTTTATTTATTTATTTTTTTGTGAACACACTGTACAGAGGGGTTACAATTACATGGGCAGGATAATGCGTACATTTCTTATCAAGCATTGCAGCCTCCTCCTTTGTTTACCCTTCACATCCCTTCCCAGCCCCTCCCTACCCCCCCCACCCAATCCTCCCCGCCTCCCCCCCCCCTATAAATTCTTTTAAACTTTCTTTTAAGTCAGTAACTTTTTCTTTAAGGGATTTCCAATGTTGTGATTTGTTCACACAGGCTCTCTAAAGCTGAAGTTCATAATTTCTCTTTAAGACAGTCCTAATTCAATTGTATCAGCCCATAATTTTTCTTTTTTTTTTTTTTTGTAGGTTGTGGGACTGGAACTCTGGGCTCGAGTGCTCTACCGCTTGAGCCACAGCGCCACTTCCAGTTTTCTGGTGATTTATTGGAGATAAGTCTCACGGACTTTCTTGCCCCAGCTGGCTTTGAACCGTGGTCCTCAGATCTCAGCCTCCTGAGTAGCTAGGATTACAGGTGTGAGCCACCAGGCTGGGCTTCAATTTAATTTCTTCCATAGGTCTAAAGCTATTTGGGTTACCTGGTTTTTTTTGTCGGTCTTGGGGCTTGAACTCTGGGCCCAGGCACTGTTCCTTAGCTCTTCAGCTAAAGGCTAGTGCTCTACCTTTTTTTTTTTTTTTTGGTCGGTCATGGGGCTTGAACTCTGGGCCTGGGCGCTGTCCCTCAGCTCTTCAGCTCAAGGCGAACGCTCTACCACTTGAGCTACAGCGCCACTTCCGGTTTTCTGGTGGTTTATTGGAGATAGGAGTCTCATGGTCTCTCCTGCCCGGGCTGGCTTTGAACCACGATCCTCAGATCTCAGCCTCCTGACTAGCTAGGATTACAGGCGTGAGCCACCAGCGCCCGGCTTAGTGCTCTACCTCTTAAGCCACAGTGCCACTCGCAGTTTTCTAGTGGTTTATTGGAGATAAGAGGCTCACGGACTTTCTTGACCAGGCTGGTTTTGAAGCACAATCCTTGTGCCTTTAGACAAAGGCTTATCAATTTTACTGATTTTTATCAAAGAGCCAGTTTTCACTGCTTTTCTCTGTTTTTTGTTTCATTGATTTACATTTTACTCTTTATTATTTGCTTTCTTTTTTACTTTGGCTTAATTTCCTTTTTATTATCTAGTTTTGTAAGGGTAGACACTGATCATGGATTTATGATCTTTTCTAATAGGTGTTATCTTTAGAGCTCTTCCTAGGAGTACTGTGTCAGTGGTATGGTGCAAAATTTCACATGTTCTGTTTCCATTGTCATTCTTTCTAAATGCTTTCTAACTTCCCTTCTGATTTCTTCTTTGCCCAAGGATTATTCACCAATGTGTTACTTAGGTTACTATATACATAAAGGGTATTTGTATGACCTAAGTAAAAGTAAAATTAAGACTTGTTTTAGGGGCTGGGAAGGTAGCTCAGCGGTAGAGTGCATGCCTTGCAAGCATGAGGCCCTGGGTTCAATTCCTCAGCACCACATAAACAGAAAAAGCCGGAAGTGGCGCTGTGGCTCCAGTGGTAGAGCGCTAGCCTTGAGCTGAAGAGCTGAGGGACAGCTTCCAGACCCAGAGTTCAGGCCCCATGACCGGCAAAAAAAAAGACTTGTTTTATAGCCCACAATATGGTCTACCTTAATAAACAGATGTGTGTCTTTAGAAGATCAGCTGCAGCCTCAGAGAGTTTCTGTCCACTTGCTCTTACATGACTGACACGAGTCACTGACTATCCTTGAGGCTTTACTTCATACATTATGAAACATTGCTTTTTCAACTCCTACTGTCTAAGATTATTGTGTTCTTTTGAAGAACTGACTTTTTCTTTATCCTTAACAACATTCTTGTTCTGGCTTGTCTGATACTTAAAGCCACTTCAGCTTCCCTTTAAAGCATTCATTTTGCTGTGGCATTATCACTTTCCTAATTCTTATATCACACCCATCCCTTCCTTCTCACTGCTCTTCACTTTGCTCCATTAGGTCTCTGGCCATACAACATGACCATCTCTCCCACTGGGCCAGATTCTGAGTGGGACACTGGTCTCACCCTGCCTTCTATCCTCAGTACCGAATGCACAGCAAATGTCTAATGCTTAAAGGACACTGCAAGTTCTTCTATTCTTGGTTTTCTTTTTTTTTTCTTCTTCTTTTTTTTTGGTGCCAGTCCTGGGGGCTTGAGCTCAAGGCCTGGGTGCTATCCATGAAATTCTTTCTTTTCCAAGGCTAGCACTCTACTACTTGAGCCATGGTGGCACTTCCAGCATTTTTTTTTTTTTTGTAGTTTATTGGAGATAAGAGTCTCATGGACTTTCCTGCCTGGGCTGGCTTTGAACCACGATATTCAGATCATAGCCTCCTGAGGAGCTAGGATTACAGATGTGAGCCACTAGCACTTGGCCCAGTCTTGGTTTCCTAGTAACTAAAATCAAAACAAATTCTAATCCAATAACTCAATAGTAGAGCATTTGCTTAGCAAGTAGAAAGTCCTGAGTTCAAACCCCAGCACCACATATAAAGAAAACAAAGTGATCCAAAAAAGGTATGGGATGTTTAAATAAGATCTAGAGACTAATAATATCCAAATGTCTAGACTCCAATTAAAAGTTACTAAGCTTTGGGCTCTGGTGGCTCATGCTTTTCATCCTACCTATTAGAGGGCTGAGATCTGAGGACTGCAGTTCAAAGCCAGTCCAGGCAGAAGGCTCATGAGACTCTTGTCTCTAATTAACTACCAAAAAGCATGAACTGGAACTGTGACTTAAGTGGTAAGAGTACTAACCTTGGGCAAACATTTTTGCTCAGGGACAGTGCCCAGGCCCTGAGTTTAAGCCTCAGGACCAGCACAAAAAAACAAACAAATAAGAAAAATTATATGACAGATCTTAGAGCAGTCAATGGAAAATGTTGCAAGAAGTAGTTATAAATATGCTTGAAGAAATGAAGAAACAGAACAGGAAGTCTGTACAAAAAAAAAAAGTCTTAACAGAAAGAACACAAGAACTGAACAGTAATTATGAGACTTAAATACAGAGGAAGATTACAATTTGAGGTTTAGGAAAAAGGATAAGACCCTATCTAGCAAAACAAAACTCCTAAAAGCCAATGAAATGACTAAAATGACTGCTATGGTTCAAGTGGTAGCACATTTCCTGGCAAGCTAGAGGTCCTGAGTTTAACAGGCAGTAGTGCAAATTAAAAAAAAAAAAAAGGGGGGGGGGCTGGGAAGGTAGCTCAGTGTTAGAGTGCTTACTTTGCATGCATGAGGCCCTGGGTTCAATTCCTCAGTACCACATAAGCAGAAAATGCTGGAAATGGCACTGTGGCTCAAGTGGTAGAGCTTGAGCTGAAGAGCTGAGGGACAGCACCCAGGCCCAGAGTTCAGGCCCCACGACCGAACCCCCCCCCCGCAAAAAAAAAAAAATGTAGGAAGACAGAAGGATGTGCATAGGTCATATGAAAACACCTGGCCCTATTATGTAAAGAATCTGAGCATCTGAGGGGGGTTTGGAACTAATATCCTATGGACACCAAGGAATAACTGTATGTCCTATGACTTCACATATAAAGCAGAGAATAAATTACTAACCAAATTTAATTCAGCCTGTGAACATTTTAAAAAGCTGCTTGAAATGTTTACATTACAAAATGAGATCAGGGTTTCTATAACTCAGTCAGGTGGACAAGAAGGGACTCAGGACAGGAAAGTTTCCTGAAGGTACAGGGAAAGCAGACATGAGAACATGGGGCAGTGCTGCCCCAAACATAACTCACTTTATTTTATATTAAATTTATTACTATACCAAGTGCATTCACTAAGAATCATGCTTAGTTTATGATATCAACAGCTTGTCAAGACTGCTACCTGGTGACTTACTCTGGGCAAGCTCTCCCTAATCCTTTCACACTGATAACTACAGCCTGAGGGGGGGGGCGCGGGCGGAGTGGGGGAAGAGGTATTTTCACACCCAGGGACTTAACAGTGACCAGTAAGCCAAGGTAGTCAACTAGAAAATAATCCTAAAAGAGCTTTTTAAGGAAAAAAGCCTTTTCTTACACTGACTTTGTTCTTTCTTTCTCCAATGTATGGCTTCTCCTGAAAAGATTGCTACATAAAATCTTCCCAGGCACAATCCAATCTTAAGTAGAATAAGATCAAGGCCTCGGTTATTCCAAGCTAAACCTAACTGGCTCTGTAGACTCTCAGGGTTGCACCTCGGTTATTTCAAGCTAAACCTAACTGGCTCTGTAGACTCTCAGGGCTGCACCTCGGTTATTCCAAGCTAAAACTGGCTCTGTAGACTCTCAGGGCTGCAGGCTGGTACAGCTCGGGTGCTTTGGTTTAAATAAATGTTATCTGTGAATTCATACAAATAAGGGCCTGGATACCACTCTGTTAATCACTGACTTCTCCAAGTAAGAGGCAATAAACAACTACAAAGTAACTTCCCCAGTATTTTTGTGGTGGCTGCCAGCCTGGAAGTGTGAGGGGTACACTGGACAGGATCCCCACATCTGGATGGCTCTGGCCAAGAAGCATGACTAACAGACTGGGACTGAGAAGAAAAGAGGAAACAAAAATGCTGATTTAGTAAGTGGAGTTGGCAAAGCAATCTTGAAATCAGTCCATGGAAGAAAATAAGGGCCCAGGGACCACTGTAGCTGGGGTGGAATGCTGGGACTCAACAGAGATCTCATTAGAGGCAGATCTATGAAAAACCAAGAGTTCGCACCTACCTTTTGGCTGAGGCTGGAGACTTGGCCACAATAACAGCATTCCTATAATCTGGGATCTGTGACACACAACAGGCTAAGGATTACCACCATATCTTTAATAATAAAAAGGAACATTCCAAAAGATTCAAACCATCATCTGGTTTACTTGGAAATTTTGCAACAACAACAACAAAAAAAAAAAAAAAAAAGAAAGGAAAAGACAAAAATGTCCCTGAAATGAAAATTATTGCCTACTTAGAATTTTTTTTTTTTGGTCAAGGGGCCTGGGCCTGGGTGCTGTCCCTCAGCTCTTCAGCTCAAGGCTAGCACTCTACCGAGCCACAGTGCCACTTCCGGCTTTTTCTGCTTATGTGGTGCTGAGGAATCAAACCCAGGGCCTCAAGCATACAAGGCAAATACTCTATCACTTCCTAGTCCCTACTTAGAAAAATTTGTGTGAGATATAAAGATTTTTTTTTTTTCTAAAAGTAGGGGCAATCAGTGACTATCTCTCATCTCTATTGATCTATATAGTCAGCAAATACTGACTATATAGGTATGCTTTGAAAAAGTCAACAGAAGCTAGGAGTGGAGGCCTCAGCTTGTGAACCCAGATACTCAGGAGGCTGAGAGGCAGGAAGACCAACAGTTTGAGGCCAGTGTAGGTTATACAATGAGATTCTATCTCAATCAATCAATCAATCACTCAATAAATTAATTAAATTAAAAAATCAAAGTAATTGTCAGTCCAAACTAGTGTGGTCCAAACAAGTGAGAACTGTGGGGAAACTAATGGACCAAGGACAATCAAGCCATTGCTATTTTAAAAAGATGTTAAATGTCCTTAAAAAGCAAGCAAACAAATAAACAATGTCTGGGGGCTTGGCTCAGTGGTAGAATGCCTGTTCCACATGCCCAGCCCTTAGTTCAATCCCCAGTACTACCAAAACAACAAAAAGTACATACATACATATATACATCCATACATACATATATACAAACCTCAAGAGTTGGCTGGTTGAACAGCAGAAATGATAAGAACAAATGTGGGCTGGGTGTCAGTGGCTCATGCCTATAATCCTAGTTACTCAGGAGGCTGAGATCTGAGGGCTATGGTTTGAAGCCAGCCCAGGCAGAAAAGTCCCTGTGAGACTCTAATCTCTAATTAACCTCTCAAGAACCAGAAGTGGAGGTGTGGCTCAAAGCGGTAGAACATTAGCCTAGAGCAAAAAGAGCTCAGGGACAATGCCCAGGCCCAGTTCAAGCCCCATAACTGACAAAAAACAAAAACAAGAAAACCCAAAACCAAACCAAACAAACAAACAGAAAATGTGGGAGGATCAAGCCAAAGAGTTTTCCCAGAACGCTACACAAAAGAAGGTAAATATTAAGCTTAAGGAAAAAAAAAAAAAGAGCTGGGAATGGTGCACATACCTGTAATCGCAGTATAAGAGACAGAGGTAATAGGAGCTCAGTTCAAGGCCAGTCTGGGCTATATACTGAGGCCCTGCCTCAAAACACTGAGAAAAAGCTGGGTACCAGTATCTCACACCTAAAATTACAGCTACTTGGGAGGCTGAGACTAGGAGAATCAAATTTCCAGGCCAGTCTAGGCAAAAAAGGTTTATGAGGAGCCCAGGTGCTGTGGCTCACGTCTGTAATCCTAGCGATTAAGGAGGCCGAGATCTGAGGATCATGGTTCAAAGCCAGCCCAGGCAGGAAAAGTCTGTGAGACTTGTATCTCCAATAAACCACCAGAAAACGAAAAGTGGCGCTGTAGCTGAAGAGCTGAGGGACAGTGCCCAGGCCCAGGGTTCAAGCCCCATGACTGACCAAAAAAAAAAAGAAAGTATTTATTATGGGCTGAGAATGTGGCTTAGTGGTAGAGTGATTGCTTAGCATGCACAAAGCCCTGGGTTCAATTCCTCAGTACCACATAACCAGAAAAAGCCAGAAGGGGTGTTGTGGCTCAAGTGGTACAGTGCTAGCCTTGAGCAAAAGAAGCTCAGGAATAGTGCCCAGGCCCTGAGTTCAAGCCCCAGGACTGTCAAAAAAAAAAAAGTTTATGAGACACCCCCGGCCCCACCAATTTCAACATAAAAAGCTGGATGTGGTAACATTCATCTGTAATCTCAGTAATAATAGGAAATATAAATAGGAACATTGTGGTTCAGGCTGGCCCAGGCAAAAATCAAGACTTATTTAAAAAGTGACCAGAGCACAAAAGTATAGAGGCATGGTTCAAGCAGTAGAATACCTACCTAGCAAGCATGTAAGCCCTAATACTGCCAAAAAAGAAAAAAAATCTGAGCTAGCTTACCTCTTCTTGAATGTACTGTAACAGGAAGGGAGATGCTCTTAAATTATCAACAGGAATATTGAAGAAGCCCTGTATTTCTTTCTGGTGTAAATCCATAGTAATAAGATGAGTCAGACCTTCAAAAATAAAATAGATAGAAATACAAAGCTTACAAAGAAGTTGTACTGTAAGAAATACTGTATAGAGTAATACACTATATTTAATAAATAACTGAAAAATTGTTCTTCTACCACAAAACCTAGCACTTTTGTTGTTCAGGTTGTTTAGTATTATATGATACACAATTTTTTTTGGGTCCGGTCGTGGGGCCTGAACTCTGGGCTTGGGTGCTGTCCCTCAACTCTTCAGTTCAATGCTAGCACTCTACCACTTGAGCCACAGCACCACTTCCGGCTTTTTTCATTTTGCTTATGTGGTGCTGAGGAATCGAACCCAGGGTCTCAGGCATGCAAGGCAAGCACTCTACCACTGAGCCAACTTCCCAGCCCATGATACACAATTTTTGAAATAATTGAAAGCACAGAAATATCAGTGATGATAGCAAAATAGAAATGCCGCTAAAAAATAAAATAATGTCTCTCAGGAGTAGCGTGATCAAGTCTCAAGTTATTCTACTTACTACTCACAGGAGTAGCGTGATCAAGTCTCATGTTATTCTACTTACTACTCAGGCCAGTGGGTCTACGCTATATATGCTACCCACCCGTTAGTCACTTAGTATCCATCTGAGTTGCAGATGCACCATTTCAGTACTGTAGTAACTGCCTGTGACTTCAGGCATCCATTAGAAGTCTTGGCACATATACCTTATGGAAAAGATGAACTACTGTGTAAACTGTCTGTAAATGCTGGGCTGCTGTTTTTACTGTTCAGCATTCTAATTTAGTTAAGACAATGCTTTGAAATGTCTAAGGAAAATAAAACTTCAAGGCCTGTAATTAACTGTGAAAGGACTGCCATTCTTACTTACCAGCTTTGCACATCATAGAAGCCAGCAATTTAGAGACTATGGACCCTCTCTTCCTCATCTTGCACTGCTTGCTGTAGGGAAAGTAGGGGATCACGCCAATGATGCTCTTGGCACAAGAAGTCTTACATGCATACACCATAATGAGGAGCTCCATGATGGTGGTGTTCACATCCCTGAAACCCAGACAGAAATCCCATGGAGAGGTGTTACTATCCCCTTTGGGCTAGGGCTGGAGCTCTGTGGTGTGTGCTTAGCATGTTTAAGACTCTGGCTCAATCTTTGGCACCAAAACACAAACAGAGCTAATAGTAATAGTTCCCTGCTGCAACCAAGTGTCAGAAGCATGCTCCTTATACCTCTTGGATCCCTTATCAGATCCCCCTGAGATGACCCTACTTCTTTTGTGTGAGAAAAACACTGCCAGGCTGGGAAGTTGGCTCAGTGGCAGAGTGCTTGCCTTGCATCATGAGGCCCTGGGTTTGATTCCTCAGCATCACATAAGCAGAAAGAAAAAAAAAAGCCGCAAGTGGCGCTGTGGTTCAAGTATTAGAGCGCTAGCCTTGAGCTGAAGAACTGAGGGACAATGCCCACTCAGAGTTCAGACCCCACGACCGGACCCCCCCCCCCAAAAAAAAAAAAAAAAGAAAGAAAAACACTGTCAGAAGAGAGTTTCTGCTGGGCACCAGAGGCTCAAATCTGTAATCCTAGCCACTCATGAGGCTGAGATCTGAGTATCCTGGTTCAAAGGCAGCAGGAAAGTCTGTGAGACCCTTTAAATTTTTTTTTCTCTGTTGGTTGTGGGGCCTGAACTCTTGGCCTATGCACTATCCCTCAGCTCTTCAGCTCAAGGTTAGCGCTCTACCACTTGAGCCACAGTGCTTTTTTTCTACTTATGTGGTGCTGAGGAATCGAACCCAGGGCCTCATGAATGCAAGGCAAACTCTACCACTGAGCCACCTTCCCAGCCTCCTACACACAGCTTCCAGGATGTCCCTGTGGCCATATTCTGCCTCCTAGGAATCCTTTGCTGGTTCCCTTCTCCCACCTAATCATGCATTCAGCTTCTCTTGTCTCCCTCACCCCTTGGGCTTTTCATTCAATGGTGCAGCTTTATAAATGCTGGCGACTCTCACGGTCCAACACTCCCCCTGTAAACTTGGTCAAACTAATCCTACCACTGCTACATGGTTACACCTGAATGGCATTGCCTGCAAATGTCTGAGTCACCAGATCAGTGGCTCAGCTGCTGGCCACACTTCCTGGTCACTCAGGACAAAAACTGGGTGTCAGTGACTCGTGTCTATAATACTAGCTACTCAGGAGGCTGAGATCTGAGGATAGCAGTTCAAAGCCAACCCAGACAGGAAGGTTCATGAGATTCTTATCTCCAATAGCTAAAAAGCTGGAAGTGGACCTGTGGCTCCAGTGGAAGAGTGCCAGCCTTGAGCATAAAAAACTATGGGACAGTGTCCACGCCCTGAGTTCAAGCCTCAATATTGGCATAAAAACAAAATAAAACAAAACAAAAATCTCTCCTCTTATTAGTCCACCCTCCTTCCCACTATCTCACTGGTCTCTCCCCTTCCTGGAGCCTTTGCTCTTAGAGTGAAAGGGTGGCTTTCATTCTGTCTGTCTGGAGCCCAAGGTCCCTTCAACTTCTGGCCCCCCACCCATCTCCACCTTCTACCTCCTCAATCCACTATACTCAACTCTGCTCAGTCCTCCTGGATCATTCACTGCCTTAGAGGGCCTAGCTCCCTCCCTGCCCTTCCACGGATATTTTTCCAATGTCCCTTTCATGATAGGCAGGCCTTGCTGGCCCCTCTACCTGCTCATCACCATCACGGCCTTCTCTTTGTCATTCCATTTTATTATGCCTTTGACATGCTGGGTATTCTTTGATCTACTCTGTCTTCCTCCACTAGGACACAAGCACCATAGCACTAACTTGTGTCAAACACAAAGACATCTTACAACTAATACATTAACTCAATATCACAGACATGCAATACTACTTGTTCCCAAATAGATAGTAGGCATCCACACTTTCAGAGAACATTCTGTGCAGAAGGATGAACAGAGAATCTGATCTCCAGTAGTCACTCTGGGGGTCCCAAACAGGTGCACAAGAAAATAAGACCTCTTACTACCCAAGTGATGAAAGCCTTGTATGAATTACAGGACAACTTCAGCTAACAAACACAGTTTTCTTTCCTTCTTTCTTTCCTTCCTTCTTTCTTTTCCTTCCCTCCTTTCTTTCATCTCACTGGGGTCTGAACTCAGTGCCTCATGCTCGTTAGATGGACCAAATGTTCTTCATGGAAAAATCTGCCATCTACTTTCAGTAGTTACAACCCACCTGTACAAAAATGAAGTAACAGGTTGGGGTGTAGCTTGGTAGTAGAGTGCTTGCCCAGTAACTGAGAGACTCTAGTATGATCCTCAGTGTTGCAATGCATATGGAAATAAATATTAAAATGGAGTAACAGTTGTATCTGACACCCCAAAGTGTTCAGACTAGTTCATGATATTTCAGGAAGAAGACCCAGACACCTGGGTTCCTACAACCTGGACAACACTGAAAACCTGAGGACCTGACCATGCATGGCACACATGGGACATGGAATGACACAGAAGGAAATGTGGGGGAAATATAAAGGGCATCTGGGTGTTTGTTACTAGAGAAACAGGAACTGACAAAAGGCAATGTTGAAGCAATCAAACAACTAAAGGGGAAAGACATGAAAGGACATGAAAATGGAAGGCCTAGCAGAGTCACCCTTCTGAATGCCCAATTCTGATTCAACTGGACCATTAACACCTACTTCTTCTCACCTACTCTTCCAGGCCAATCCACACAACTTCTGCATTTATCCAATGGAATCCCACTGCGCCTACAATGGATAGAGTACTGCAGATGCCCAGAAGCAGTGTAAAGAAACCCAGTGCTTATACATCTCTTCCAATGTAGAAGGAAGAGAGAGATGTAGGCACAGAGGTTGCTCAGCTGGCAGAAAAGGGAGTAAGAGCACCACAGAAAGGCCAGCCATGCCCCTCCTCATCTCACATAAGCTTTCCAGGGGATGGGAAGTAGTGACATTGCTCTTCCAACAGCTGGGTGGTATGACTCCATGCTGAGCAAGCAAAGCACAAGGCAGGTATGTGCCGTTTAGGTGAAAGCAAGAGTCTCAAGAATAAATTCCCCTGAAATTGAGCTTTTCTTCCCTTATTTTGGTGCTTATTCTATAAAAGTGTATGTGCATGTATGTACAGCTAAACTCACCATTCTATAAGTATTATGTGCATGTGTATACATCTAAACTCACTATTCAGACTTTCTAAGCTAAAAAATGATGCGTTATCCAAACTAACTTTTCTTGCATTTGCAAAAGCATAGGGCTTTGTTATATACCACCTAACAGAGGAAGAGAAGAGAAAGGGGACTTAAGGAAGTAACTTCAGTGAAAAGATAACCAGGCCCCAGGAGACTAGTTGGGAAATAGGACTTGGTTTTATGATTTCTTATCTTGGACAGATTCTCCTCCTAGGCTTCCAACACTCAAACTCCAGGGAGATCTACCTCACCTGAATTCTTTTGGGACATCTGTGAGCCCTGAATTCTTTCATTTTTAGACAGATAAGGGAAATTCAGAAAGTTTTCTTTCTGCCTCTACGGATTCTCAAATGTCTTTGGCTCAAAATAATACTCATGCTGCAGTATTATATTTTGTACTTCTTTTTTAAAAAAAATTCTTTTTGTGTGCCAATATTAGGCCTTGAACTCTTGCTTAGCTTTATTTGCTCAAGACAAATAAAGTATAAAGCTGGAGGTTTACCACTGGAATATACCTCCACTTCCCACCGTGCATCTTCTTAATCCATAATGGTACAGGCAGGACAAAGAAGGCTTATCAGTTGGAGGTCATCTGGCCACTTCCAGTCACTGAGCTGCCCTCTCTGTTAGCCAAGGCCAGGTTACTTGAGGCCTATCTCATTCCATTCCTTCCCTCACCCAGAGCAATGTGGTCATTGTAGATACTGGGGATGGGGGAAAAGATGAATACAGAAACTACTGCTGAACAAGAAAACCAAAAGAAAGAAAAACAATTATACTGAGTTAAGAACTGTCTTCAGAAATATCTGGGGACAATGTACAGTGGACAACAAGATTTCACATGATCACTTTCTCTGCTGAAGGAAAGTGGCACAGAGAAGCTCACAGCTCTTAATTTCCACCCAGCTTATGCATCTGCCACTTTCAAGAATTCTACACCATGTACTCCAGTGTCACACTAGACAGGCACACATTCCTACACTCCAGTCTCCTATCTTCTCAGCTCATTTATCAGCAAAAGCCTCTATTTCCATTCATCAAGAATATAGGAAAGGGAAGTGGTGCTGTGGCTTAAATGGTAAAGCACTATCCTTGTACAAAAGGAGTTCAGGGACAGCACCCAGGCCCTGAGTTCAAGCTCCAGAACCAGCACAAATTAAAAAAAAAAAAAAGAGTAAACTTACATCTATAATCCTTGCTACTCAGGAGGCTTGAGATCTTAGGATTGCAGTTCAAAGCCAGCCTTGGCAGGAAAGCCCATGAGACTCTTATCTCTAATTAATTACAAAAAAAGTTGGGTACTGGTGACTTATGCCTGTAATCCTAGCTACTCAGGAGGCTGAAATCTGAGGGTCACGGTTCAAAGCCAGCCCAGGCAGGAATGTCCAGAGACTCTTATCTCCAATAAACCACAAGAAAACTGGAAGTGGCTCTGTGGCTCAAGTGGTAGGGCACTTGCCTTAAGCTGAAGAGCTGAGAGACAGTGCCCAGGTCTAGAGTTCAAGTCCCATGATTGAGAAAAAAAAAAAAAAAGCCAAAGTGGAGCTGTGGCTCAAATGGTAAATCACTGGCCTCAAGCTGAAAAAGCTCAGGGACAGGACTCAGGACTGGCAGGGGGTGGGGTGGGGTGGGGAGGTAGTATACAGGAAAGATGCCAAGTGCTGATAGCCCACATCTGGAATTCCAGCTACTCAGGAGGCTGAAATCCAGAGTATCAGTGTTCAAGGCTAGCTTGGACAAAAAAGACTGAGAGACCACAAATGAATCAAGTGGTATAGCATCATCAAGCAAGCAAGTTATTCAAGGGTTAAAAAGGTCTTGAGTTCAGGGGCTGGGAAGGTGGCTCAGTGGTAGAGTGCTTGCCTTGCATGCCTGAGGCCCTGGGTTCGATTCCTCAGCACCACATAAGCAAAAACAAAAAAGCCAGAAGTGGCACTGTGGCTATGAGCTGAAGAGCTGAGGGACAGCGCCCAGGCCCAGAGTTCAGGCCCCACAACCGGACCAAAAAAAAAAAAAAAAAAAAAAAAAGGTCTTGAGTTCAAACCCTAGTACCACACCCCACAAAAACAAATGCAGAAAAGGGGAGAGGGGAGCATGGTAACATTTGTTTATAAGAAGGTAGGGAAAGGAAGATTGTAAATTTAAGGCCAATTCTTACAACTGCAGGGTAGCAAGATCCTCTCAAAACCAAAATGAACAAGAAAAAGACTGGGGGGGCATAGTCAGTAGTTTAGCACTTGCCAAGCAAGTATGAGCCACTATGTTCAAATCCCTCAGAACTGTGGCATCATCATCATCATCATCATCATCCAGAAAAAGACAAGCCTGGGGGCACATGTGTAGAGTCCTAGCTACTCTGGAGGGTGCGGCAGGAGAATCACTTGAACCCAAAAATCTGGGGCCAGCCTGAGGAACAAAGTAAGAGTGTCTCTTAAAAGAAAAACACAAGAACACATACAAGCCAGCAGTTAATATCAGAAAATATAGTGAATTTTAAGAGTCCCATTTTAAGACTTAATTCTTCCTGCAGGGCCAACGTTTAGTATTCTATAGTTTAGTATTCTATATTCATGCCAGAACAGCAACTTGAAAGGTAATACCTCTGCTAAGCAGTCACTCACTTTGAGATGGTCTGGATGATGAAGACATCTTTTCCCCTCACAGACTCTTGAATCTGTACTCTTGTTTCTGAAAGGAAAAGGGAAAAAGGGAGGGGAAGGCATATTAGTTCAATTTTTTTTGTTGTTGTTGTTGGTTGTGGGGCTTGAACTCTGGGCTTGGGCGCTGTCCTGTGCTCTTCAGCTCAAGGCGAGTGCTCTACCACTTGAGCCACAATGCCACTTCCGGTTTTTTTTCTAGTGGTTTCTTGGAGATAAAAGTCTCTTAGACTTTCCTGCCCGGGCTGGCTTTGAACCTAGATCCTCAGATCTTAGCCTCCTGAGTAGCCAGGATTATAGGCGTGACCCACCGGTGTCTGGCCAACGTTTAATTTTTTTATTGTTATTATAAAAGTGATGTACAGAGAGTGGTTACAATTACATAAGTCAGGTAATAGATTTCTTTTTGGATATTGTCATTCCTTCCCTTGTAGTTCAAAAATTTTTAAATGCACAAATTTTTTTTTGCATCAATTTTTTTTTTTCTTTTTTTTGGGTCCGGTCGTGGGGCCTGAACTCTGGGCCTGGGTGCTGTCCCTCAGCTCTTCAGCTCAAGGCTAGCGCTCTACCACTTGAGCCACAGCGCCACTTCTGGCTTTTTTCTTTTGTTTTTTTTTGTCGGTCGTGGGGCTTGAACTCTGGGGCCTGGGCGCTGTCCCTCAGCTCTTCAGCTCAAGGCGAGCGCTCTACCACTTGAGCTACAGCGCCACTTCTGGTTTTCTGGTGGTTTATTGGAGATAGGAGTCTCACAGTCTCTCCTGCCCGGGCTGGCTTTGAACTGCGATCCTCAGATCTTAGCCTCCTGAGTAGCTAGGATTACAGGCGTGAGCCACCAGCGCCCCGCTTTTTCTTTTTTCTTATGTGGTGCTGAGGAATCGAACTCAGGGCCTCATGCAGCAAGGCAAGGGCTCTACCACTGAGCCATCTTCCCAGCCCCTGCATCAATTTTTAATGCTATGAAATACAGAAACTGGCACCATTTCAAACCTCACTGGCTTTAGTTTCTATAACAATAACCTATAGTATAATAACACATAATAAATCACATTTTTACACAGACTTAGTTAGATGACAGCCTTCAGTGGGAGTCACCTTTCTGACTCTGGGCTTCTCAGCCTTCACATGTGAGCACAGTACCTGTGAGGGAGCTTTGTGCTCACTCAACCAACATTAACAAAGAATAGAGGCACACAATGCTGTATGTGGTGGAAACTGTAAGATTCAATATATTCCTCTCAGACAACTGGACCAGCTGTAAGGAAACAACTGCATAAATCCAGAATGGCACATTCTACAAGACTGCAACAGTCAGGGTCACAGGAAGAAGGAAGAACAGGTAAAAGATCGTTCTAGAATAGAAAAGGCTAAAAGAATATGAAAAACATATACTCAAGCTGGGTGCTAGAAGCTCAGGCCTATAATCAAAGCTATTTGGAAGGTGAAGATTACAAAGATTACAGTTCAAGACCAGCCTGAGGCAAAAAAGAAGAGGAAGAAAGGAAGAAGGAGGAGGAGGAGAGGGAGGAGGAGGAAGAAGAGGAGGAGGAGGAGGAGGAGGTTGAAGTTCATGAGATCTCATCTCAACTAATAACAGCTGGGTGTGGTATGGCATGCCTGTCATCTCAGTTATGTAAAAGATTGAAATTGGGAAGATCACAGTTCCAGGCCAATCCCTAGGTATGGTGACACATATCTATCACTCCAGACAAGGTGAGAAGCATAAATAAGAGGAACAAGCCCAATGTTGGGGACTCTTGCCTATAAGCCAAGCTGCTTTGGAGGCTGGGATCAGGATGATGGATCAAGGCCAGCCCAGGAATACACACCTATAAACATCTAAAACCATTGGCATGTACACAACTGTTACCCTAGCTGTATGGGAGAGGCTGAGATCAAGAGGACTGTGGTTTCTCGGCCAGCATGAGCAGAAAATTCACGAGTCCATTTCAATAGAAGAAACTGGGCATGCGGCCCACACTTGCCATCCCAATTACAACAGTAATGTAAGTGGATGGCGGTACAGGCACACACCCAGGTGGAAGCTGAAAACTTATCTCAACAAAAAAACAGTGCAAGAGGGCTAGAGTGGCTCAATAGTAAAGAATCTGCCTAGCAAGTGCAGGCCTCTAAGTTCAAATCTTGGTATCTTAAAAAAAAAAAAAAAAAGGCTGGGAATGCGGCTTAGTGGTAGAATGTTTGACTAGCATACATGAAGCCCTGGGATCGATTCCTCAGGACCATACAAACAGAAAAAGCCAGAAGTAGAGCTGTGGCTCAAGTGGTAGAGGGCTAGTCCTGAACAAAAGAAGCTTAGATACAGTGCCTAGGCCCTGAGCTCAAGCGCCAGAACTGGACAAAAAAAAAAGGAAAGATGATGATCCAGGCATACAGTAAGATCCTATTTCAAAAATAAGAAGAGTAGAGTACCTGCTTAGCAAGCACAAAGCCCTGAGTTCTTTTCCCGTTCAGGCAAAAAAAGGAAGGCAGGTAGGCTGGCTGGCCCACTTAACAAAATAGCATGCTTTGAGTTAAAAAGCAAAAAAGTCGGGGGGGGGGGGGAATGGGAGAAAAAAAAAAGCAAAAAAGTCAGGAAAATGGAGTAATCTAAATATAAAACAACAATTAAAGACATATTATTAATTTCTTTAAATATAACAACAGTATTCTATTTATGTACAAGAAAGTGTTTATTCTTTTTTTTTTTTTTTTGGGTCTGGTCATGGGGCCTGAACTCTGGGCCTGGGTACTGTCCCTCAGCTCTTTAGCTCAAGGCTAGCACTCTACCACTTGAGCCACAGCACCACTTCTGGCTTTTTTTTTCTGCTTATGTGGTGCTGAGGAATCGAACCCAGGGCCTCAAGCATGAAAGGTGAGCACCCTACCACTGAGCCACCTTCCCAGCCTAAAAGTGTTTATTCTTAAGACAGGCACTGATAGCTTAAACTACCAAGTAATACTTGTAATCCTAACTACTCAGAAGACTGTTCTGAGGACTAAGGTTCAAAGCTAACTTGGGCAGAAAAGTTCTTGAGACTCCAAAATAACGAGCAAAAAGCCAGGCTAGAGGATGGCTCCAGTATCAGAGTGCCAGCCAAGCAAGCAGTGGTAGAGCACTTGCCTACATGTAGAAGGCCCTGCAAAGAGGAAAAATACGGAATGCATGTCTACAAAAAGAATGTGCCAGTGCCAGTGGTTAACACCTATAATCCTAGCTACTCAGGAGGCTAAGATGTAGATCTTGGTTCAGAGCTAGCCAGGACAAACAAACCCCAAAGACTCCAGTTAACCAGCAAAAAGCTAGAAGTAAAGGTATAGCTTCTTGGTAAAGCTCCAGTCTTGAGGGAAAAAAAGGCAAGGAGAGCATGAAAGCACTGAGTTCAAGTTCCAGTACATGTACATTCTTACTTGCTCTCTTTTTCTCTCTCTTACACATACACACTTACATTCACATATCCCTAAGAGATGATGTTAGGTACAAAGTTCAGAGTAACAGTACCATGTTTAGCATGCATAACACTCTGGGTTCACTAACAGTAAGCAGCACAAGTGTGCATTCACACACACACACGTATTCACACACAAACACATTCACAGGATAACCAACTGACACTACAGGTGTTCAGGATTACTCTATTGACTAAGATAACATAAATTTAACCAAAGCTGAGCTCATGTTTTCATTCAGTTGACCAGCTGGGTAAAAAAATACCCTTGTCTCCACTTTGCTTGTTAAAGCACTAACTGGACAAATGAATCAAACTGTTTCACAGTGAGAGATGAAGCCCTGAGCCCATACACTACATATCACAGAAAGATTAAGAGACACATGTCCAAGATAGCTCACCTCTGTTAGGTTCCTGGTAAACCTGCACTTTGCCCATCTCCACCCCCAGTCGCCTAGAGAAGAAAAAGAAGGTAAAGTTTAGAAAGCAACAGAACAGACCCAATACCTTCGCTGTTTAAGATGACATATAAATTGGTAAAAGAAAAATAAAGTGTTCTTATTACAAAACTCGAAATCAGTATTCAATTGTCCTCTTGGTTCATTGCCTACACCTCACTTTCACTTCATGTCTATCCAAGACCTACCTAGTTGAACTCTGCCCACTTCACCATTGTCCTGGTAGTCTCTGTCCACCAGCTTACATCCTCAATAAACACTAATGCCTCCCTTTCAAATCCCCACATTGCCGACAGGGCTCTGCTCCAAACTTCAGTTGGTAGCTCATTCAGGTCACATAATGTGACCCATCAACCCACGTTAAGGCATTAAACCGTGCCCCATCCTGACTTTCCCACTGCCTTCTTCCTGGCACTTGCTACTATCTGAAATAGTTTTGTAGGCTGAGTTGCTTCTTGTCTGGTTCTCATAATGAAATGAAAATTTTATGAGAAGAAAAGCTGAATGGCCAGCTTACTGTTAACCCCATCTAGCTAGATGACTCCTACACAGCAGCGGTTCAATGTTCATTTACTATCTAAAATGTACTCAGCCATAGCTCTAAGTTATTCCCATAGTAGTCATTTTTCTGTTGGCTAAATGGCAATTCCACAAAAGAGTACCCATAACAATCTGTCAGGTACTCAGTAAGTGTTTGCTGCCTGAATATGCAGGGAACAGTGATACACAAAGATCAGCACTGCTCTATGCAGATACTACCATAAGACATCAACTCTTAAGCCTGATGATCACCACTAAGCTTGTTATCAAATTTAAGTCATTTCATACTGAACGCAGATGTAGACAGTAAATTATAACTCACTCGGCAATTTTCTTTGAAAGCTCCATACACGATGAGTTGGAATTTGCTGAAAACAACACCAGACCTCCTTTGGGTACATTCATCTTGGCTTCTAATTCAGGTGGCGCCACACAAAACATCAAAACCTTCTTGGTTTTCCAATTCTCAGAGCCTGGAAGGATGTGACATGTATTAAGAACTGTCATCTGTTAGGAAATGCACCTGTATGGATTTTTAATAGCAAATGAATTCAGCTGACGGAGAACCATGTACCACCATGTTGTCTTTTATTAGAAGGACACACACACATATGTTCATACACACGGGGACAAACACAAAGCTCATTTGATTTTAGGATTGCAAACTGATGGAGATGTGTCATCATGATTTACTTTTTATGACCATTGGGAATAAATGATAAACTTACAAGAAAGGTGGAGCTGAAGAGCTCAGAGTTTTACTGTGTGCTGGAATAAAGTCAATTATGGACAACCTCCTGTTATTCTCTGATAACAGAATTCCTCCTGCATTAACACACAGAAAAATGGCAGAGCCATTAGCAAGAACATAAACTGGCTGATCCTTAAAGAATAAATCCATCTACCCCAAGCTTTTCAACAACAGTTATTTCCCATAAATCCTGCCCCATGGCAAGTCTAAAACTGACCTTCGTCATCCTTTTCCTCCACAGATAACACTTTGAAGAAAAGTTAAGAAAACTATCCTTGTGGTAGTCTACTATCCACAGTTTTCCCACATCAAGAGGACCTGGCCTAGTCCCAGAGGTGGACATCTACTCAGGCTGGGCTGGGCTTGGCTGGGCTGGATGAAAGAGCAACAACCCCATAGGCTGCAGAGTTCCTAGCAAGCCACAGCATTTGCTTGTGTGTTTACTTGAGATAGCTGGGGAGGCTAGTGGAGACAAAGCTGAAAGTCCATTTGCCATTCTCAAATTTTAATTACCCACAGAATATACAAACACACCCTCCTAGGAAAATATACTAACACAACATCTTAGGAAAACTCTGCTGGTTAAGGCTAAAGTGAGTAGTCCAAACCCCAGGCTCTTCCCCAACAACGGTGCATATGGGCACCTCAGGCCTTTTCTATTTATTCCACACATTCACACATATGACTTCTATGAAAACTATGGGTGGACAATATTTCATTGTTTCTAGTACAAGCTACAAATCTATTTGCAATAAGCTTCTTCACCAAACAACCTGGGTTAGAAGACACATTTTACAGTAGCCCCAAGGGCTGATTTTCACAGTTACATAGATGAGTGGCCTGGCTCTTGCTAACTGCTGCCTGGTCTTGAATAGGGTGGACATGCTTTTGGCCAGCTCCCTGTCCTCAACTGGCCTCCCACACTCATGCTGCAGAACCAGTGGGTCACACAGTTAGCTGGCTCAGAGCACAGCCCCACTAGCCTGAGTGTAGTTCTAAAAGAGCAACCTTGAAGGGGCATTGCCAGTGAGAGCCCAGCACTCCCAAATGGAGAAGTAATGGGCTACTGTGCAGCTTAAGCTGACCTAATTCACTTTAATCCTTTGAGCTGCAAGCTCAACTGTATGTACACCAATCAAAGTCCTATAGAGCCCAGGGAGGACCACTGGCATCTGCCATGCAAAGTGGCTAAGAGCAGGAATCAGCCCACAAGCCAAATCAGCTCCCTAGCTCATTTGCTTGTCAATGGTTCCTGGAAACAATAATATATGTGGCCCTTTACAGAAAAATGATGCCAATTCTTGCTTAAAGAAAAAAAGCGGCTCGGGCTGGTACAGTGCTTGCCTAGCATACACAAAGCCTGGGTTCCATTCCTCAGTACCACAAGAAGTGGTGCTGGGGCTCAAGTGGTAGAGTGCTAGCCTTGAGCAAAAGAAGCTCAGGGACAGTGCTCAGGCCTTGAGTTTAAGCCTCAGGACTGGGAGGGAGGGGGAAGGAGAGGGGAGAGGGGAGAAGAGAGAGGAAAGAGGGGAGGGAAGGAGAGGGAGAGGGAGAGGGAGAAGAGAGGGAGGGAGGGAGGAAGGGAGAGAGAGAGAGAGAGAGAGAAAGAAAGAAAGAAAGAAAGAAAGAAAGAAAGAAAGAAAGAAAGAAAGAAAGAAAGAAAAGTAAAAAGCAGCTCTGCACAGAACAAAGAGAATGGGGCAGAATGGCCAGTGTATGTGAAAAGACATCTCCACAGCACCAACATGAATTGGGAGGGATCTTAGATGCACTCTTGACACTTGTGGTACAGGTCCAAGAGTAGAAACAAATAAAACAGATTCTCTTCTAGTTAGACTATGGAGTCAAACTCCTGTGTGCATCTGGGATCCTATTCCAAGATGATGGCAAGGCATAAGCTACTTCAAATCTCTGTAACATTTTCTAAGGTTCCTCATCCATGAAACTGTGAAAAGCAGCTCCCCTACTGTAAAATGTCTGCCAAGCATCTGACACCATTCCCTGCATGCAGGACATGCTACAATGCACACATCAACTTCTAACCCTTTCATTAGCTACCAAATACCACAATGTACAGGTGGTGGTCATCTTTATACCCCTCCTTTCACCTTCAAATATGAAGCCTCTAACAGAAAGTACAAGTATTCGTGTGTGTGTGTGTGTTCGTGTTCATGTTCATGCGCATGCACCAGTTCTGGGGCTTGAACTGAGGGCCTGGGTGCTGTCCCCTCAGCTTCTTTTGCTCAAAGCTAGTGCTTCACCACTTAAGCCAGAGCACCACTTCTGGCTTTTCCTGAGTAGTTTACTGGAGATAAGAATCTCATGGACTTTTCTGCCTGGGCTGGCTTTGAACTGCAATCCTCAGATCTCAGCTTCCTGAGTAGCTAGGATTACAGGCCTGAGTCACCAATGCCCAGCTCAGTCTTCTTGTAAGTCCATCCTCCAACAATAAGGAAGACATCAGAAACACCTATATTCATGCTCTGTATTCATTTATAGGCCATTCAAATACTAAGGCTGTTTCTAGTTTCAGTTCTTTCTCTTGCTACAAACATACACTATGCTTTTACCAACCTCCCCAAAAGGCCACTCTTAGGAACATGATATGCAAGGCTGGCAGGCATCTCATTAGTTCCAGGTTTAATGTGAAATGAAGAGTAAAGAGAACATTTTTACTGTTCTTATGAACTACAGCTGCTTTCATGTTTAACCTAATTTCACTCTGGAATGTGTGAGGTTTATTTATAGCACGTGTGAAAACACAGCCTTCCGGAGAAACTCAGCAAATCATGCTCCGTTGCTTCTCTTTGAATGAAATTTAAGAATCTGCTAAGTCTATGAATGAAAACACATTGAAAAAGATCACCTGATTTTGATGTACTAGCATTCATTTAAAAACACCTATACTTTTTTCTATGTGGTAGCCTTTTCATTGTTGTTGTGCCCATACTTGAACTAAAGGCTTAGCTTTGAACTTAGCTAAGCTTAGCTTGAACTTGTCCCTTGGATTTTTTGCTCAAGGCTGGAAAATTACCACTAGAGCCACAGCTCCACTTCTGGCTTTTTGGTAGTTAACTGGAGCTAATAGTCTTACACTCTTTCTTGGCCAGGCTTACTTCAAATTATGATCCTCAGATCTCAGCCTCCTGAGGACCTAGAATTAGAGGCTTGAGCCATGGGTACCCAGTCTTCTAACACTATCTAAAAACAGCTGACAGAGGTAACAACAGCGGTAACAACCGCCAGGCCTGAGGTTCTCTTAGCCTCCTTGAGTCTGTCTTTACCTTTTAGGTAGCATAGATAGAAGCTTAGTAAAAACCTCCTCACACCAGATTTAAAGTCCAGGGTGTATTTTTAAAAAAAAAACTATTTTATTAGGTGCCCAGTAATACTTCAATTATAGTACCTAGCACTAATACAACAAATATGTGCTGAACAAAGGCTCATCTTACAGAATTGCAGTGCTCAAAAAAAGGAATTGAAAGCCATGTCAACAAGAATGCATTGAAGAGGATTAGTGATGCACCTCACTCTAAGAAATTTTGATTTAAAAAAAAAAAATCAAGGGGGCTGGGAAGGTGGCTCAGTGGTAGAGCACTTGCCTTGCATGCTCGAGGCCCTGAGTTCGATTCCTCAGTACCACATAAGAAAAAAGCCGGAAGTGGCGCTGTGGCTCAAGTGGTAGAGTGCTAGCCTTGAGCTGAAGAGCTGAGGGACAGAGCCCAGGCCCAGAGTTCAGGCCCCACGACCGGACCCCCCACAAAAAAAAAAAAAATCAAGGACTGGCCAGGCACTGATAGCTCAGGACTGTAATCCTAGCTACTCAGGAGGCTGAGATCTGAGGATCATAGTTGGAAGCCAGCCAGGCAGGAAAGTCAGTGAGATTCTTATCTCCAATTAATCACAGAAAAAGCCAGAATCGGTGCAGTGGCTCAAGTGGGAGAGTACAAGCCTTTAGCAAAAGGAGTTCAAGGATAGCACTTAGGGCCAGAATTTGAGCCACAGGACTGGCAGTAAATAAATAAATAAAATCAAGGACTGGAGGTATGCACTTGCGTAGCAATACATGAGACACAACCCTGGGTCCATCTCCAGTAATATACATACACACACAAAAAAAAGATGTAATAGGAGTTAAAACATTTTATCCCCCCCCCCCCCTTTTTTTTCTTCTGGTATTAGGACTTGAACTCAAGGCCTAATACTCTCACTTTGCTTTTTCACTCAAGGATGGTGTTCTACCACTTGAACCACAACTCCACTTCCCCTTCCACTCTTCCGTAACCCTAGGCACTTTGCTTCTTTGCCATTAAAATGTTTTCTTATAGCTAATGCTTGACATTTTCATAGCAGTCTGAATTTATATCACAACCCAACCAAGTAGGTATTATAATCAAACCCATTGTAGACAAGGGAAATGAGGGTTAGAGATGAAGACACCTACTCAGGTCTGCACAGAAGCTAGGTAGCAGACAGCTCAGTCACAGTCTGACTCATAGTACAATCAGTTGTATACAACAGCAGGCTGCAGTCTCTAAAGCCACACAGAAAATGACTGCACAACCTGCTGAATTCTGAATACAGGGAGTGGAATAACACAAATTCCAAAGCAAACTTGAATATCTATTGCAAACATGCCTTGTTTGTATCAAAGAACCAAAATTATTTGTATTAAGAACCAAAAAAAGAACACATCACTTCAGCATTTCACTCTTCAAATTTATCCCAAGGAAAGGAAGAGAAAGCTAAATGTTCAGTAATGGTCCAAGTGTAAGTATTCCACAATGGGACAATTAAATAAAATCTCAGGCTATGCATTCAATACAATATTCAACACTATGCAAAGGTGCTTATGATCGATGCATTATTATGAGTAATAATGGTACAACCCGAGGCAACAAAGAATACAGACAAGAAAGATTCTTTAGTAGGGCTCAATAATGTGGGAGAATTATTTTTGTGTATTTAAAGATTTAAACACTCAGTCCTGGGAATGGCTTAGCTTCAGACAGCTGGCCTAGCATGAGCAAAACCTTAGGTTCTACTCCCAGCATGGGAAAAAAAGAAAAAAGAAAAAGACAGACAAAAACTTAAAACAGTAGAGATCAGATTTCAGGTGCCCAAACCCCATTCCGCATATTCTTTATGAAAGCTAAACAGCCAAACTGCGCTAATATTAAAATGAATCATCAATGTAATGGATGGGGCAAAACATTTTTAAGTAGAATAAAATTACATGTCAGTCCTCCCTAAACCTGGCAGGAATGAGCTGAGTAAAGTCATCCTTTTGTTGGTAAATGTCCACGACTAGCACGGCCAGGCAAATGGCACTGAGGGGCTCCGTGTGGAAACGGGATGGGTTTGGGGTTGTCCGGCCGCTGGTCCGTCATTAGGGCTGCCTTCCCCAGCGCCGCCTGGAGGAAGTGGGGGGCCCTAGGGGGGAAGGGTCACCGGACGCGGGAGGTCAACAGGAAGGATGGAGACAGGACCGGCAAGGCTAGTACCCTGCAGCCGCCGCCCGGGGACCACGGCCTGACCGTCGGCCGGCGCTGCAGGGATCCCCGCCCCGTGCACCTGCCCGGCGTCCGACCAGAGCTTGCCAGTCCGCACCGCCACCAGCCACCAGCTCCTCCCCGCTTACCTAGTCCCGACCGCAGCCCCGGCCCTGCCGCAGCCTCCGCTGCCGAAGGAAGAAAGCGCAAGCCTCCGGGCAGCGTCGCTTCTAAGAGCAAAATGGCGACTCCATGCGCGAGAGCGCGTCTGCGAGGTCCGGGAGGGGGAGGGGCTGGAGGGGCGGGGCCAGAGCTGCAGGCAGGAATCACCTGCTCGAGGCCAAGGGGCGTGGCCCGCCGCAGGGGCCGGACCCGGACCTTCTGGTCAGGCTCCTGGGGTAGGGGGCCAGGCAGGCGGAGGGTCCGGGAAAGAGCACGCGGGCGTGGCCCGGTGGGTGGAGTCAGGATGGAGTTGGGAAGTGTCGGAGGCGGGGCTATGCCTGTTTTGTGACCCTGGGAAGACAAATCCTGGGCCTAATGTCAGAAGCTGCAGGTGTGGGGTGGGGGGGGAGGGAGAAATGATGAACGTGGACTGAGTTATCAAAGTTGGCATTTAACCCCATGATCCAGTGATACCACTTTTGGGCATGTATCCAAAATATTTTGTCAGGATACAGTAAAAACACACACTGACGCTCATTGAGTTACTATTCACCGTATCCAAGTTTTAGAAACAGCTCAAATGTCCTACAATGAATGAGATCAAGAAAATGTGGTATGCTAAGGGCAAGTGGTTTAAACCTGTAATCCTAAACTACTCAGGAGGGTGAGATCTGAGGACTGACGTTTAAAGGCAGCCAGAAAGCCTGTAATCCTAAACTACTCAGGAGGGTGAGATCTGTGAGATCTGAGGACTGACGTTCAAAGGCAGCCAGAACTGATAAATGTGTGAGGCTTTAAATCTCCAATTACCCACCAAAAAAGCCAGAAGTGGAATTGTGGTTCAAGTAGAGGAGGGGGCATATGATAACAGATGCATTGAATGTTCCACCATCATGTTTTTTTTTTTTGTCTGTCATAGGGCCTGAACTCTGGGCCTGGGCGCTGTCCCTCAGCTCTTCAGCTCAAGGTGGGTGCTTTACCATTTGAGCCACAGCACCATTTCCGGCTTTTTCCGCTTATGTGGTGCTGAGGAATCGAACCCAGGGCCTTATGCATACAAGGTGAGCACTCTACCACTGAGCCACTTTCCCAGCTCCATCATGGTTATTTGACTCAAATTTGCTTTAGAAGAAATGGTATGTTTAATCATTCTTGCTGTTACTATCAGTTGGGTCCAGAGATATTGAGGTTGGTTGACTAATTAAATTTGGGTCATAGTAATACAAAAGTTTGAATATTTATTTATTTATTGTCATTTGGGGACTTGAATCCTGGCCTGAGTACTTCTGTCCCTGAGCTTTTACATTCAAATCACACTTGCACTTTGAGTCACAGCACTACCTACTTTGGGTTTTTCTGGTGGTTAATTGGAGATAAGAATATCAACAACTGGGGCTGTGAAGGTGGCCCAGTGGTAGAGCGCTTGCTTTGCATGCATGAGGCCCTGGGTTCGATTCCTCAGCACCACATAAGCAAAAAGCCAGAAGTGGCACTGTGGCTCAAGTGGTAGAGCGCTAGCCTTGAGGTGAAGAGCTGAGGGACAGCGCCCAGGCCCAGAGTTCAGGCCCCACGACCGGACCCAAAAAAAAAAAAAAAAAAAAAAAGAATATCAACAACTTTCCTGTCTGGATTGGCTTCCAACCACAGTCTTCAGATCTGTCTTGGGAGTAGCTAGGATTAAAGGCATGAGCCACCAGCATCCACTTGAGCATTCATTTAAACAAAGGAAAGGTTCTGCCAAATGCTGATGCTTTGATATACGCACACTTCCTTGAGATACACATTTTTAATTAAACACCTTTTGTACCCAGAGGGGTCTTTTCTCAAGTGCTTATTTCTAGGATTAAGTGTCTTTCTTTAAGATAACTTTGCTCAGTTCCTGGAGTCACTATTTGGGTAAATGGAAAGAACTGGAAGGAAAGAACTACTCCTTCCTCCCCCCCCCCCCCACCTTTTTAAAAACTAAATATTGAAATTTTAGTGCTATAAAGCTTAAGACTGTGGTTCCTATGTATTTGTAACCAAGGTACTGGTTAGTTACACCTTACCTCAATCCTTGGCTGCCAGATCTAACCTGCCTTATTCTGGTTACGGGAATGACCTCGGACAATATCCATTACTTCCTCGAGCTTTTGTTTTCTCACCTGAAAAATGTCTACTACAGTCAGCAAGAGGTGGTGATGGAGGTGACATTCCTATGGAGGTCACAAAGTAGAGGGCACAGGAGAAGAAGCAATTTTACAGGCTCTTGCATCTCTGCCCATAAAGGAGGAGAAGCAGGGCTTTTTCCTCAAGTGAAGGAGCAGGGAAAGTAGGACAAGACGAAGGCCAGAACTAAGTCAACAGTTAAGTGAGTCTGAGAACATTTTAATAGGTAAGTCCTGTTCCCTATTTTCCAGCTTTTTTTCTATTTTCCTCATACATGAAAAAAAAAAAGACATAACAAAAACCCCCCTTCATTTTGATTATATTATTTACATATAGTAAAAAATTAGGGCAAAAGAATGAAGATGTTGGGGCTGGGAAGTTGGCTCAGTGGTAGAGTGCTTGCCTTGCATGCCTAAGGCCCTGGGTTCGATTCCTCAGCACCACGTAAGCAAAAAGAATAAAAGCCGGAAGTGGTGCTGTGGCTCAAGTGGTAGAGCGCTAGCCTTGAGCTGAAGAGCTGAGGCACAGCGCCCAGGCCCAGAGTTCAGACCCCACAACCGGACCCAAAAAAAAAAAAAAGAATGAAGATGTTTGCCTCTCTCCCACATACATGGAAAAGGAACCACCTTTGATACTTTTTTTTTGTCGTCATGGGGCTTGAACTCTGGGCCTTGGTGCTGTCCCTCAGCTCTTCAGCTCAAGGTGAGTGGCTCTACCACCTGAGCCACAATGCTACTTCTGGTTTTCTGAGTGGTTTATTGGAGATAACAGTCTCTTGGACTTTCCTGCCTGGACTGGCTTTGAACTGCAATCCTCAGATCTCAGCCTCCTGAGTAGCTAAGATTACAGGCAAGAGCCACTGGCGCAGCTTCTTTTAAAATTTGGTTTCCCAGATACTTTGTACCAACCGATATTCTCTCTAGTGAAGAAGAGGGATGTCTGTGCCTCCGCTACCTCACCAACACTGGACATTATTATTTTTGACAGTAGTTGGGACTGGACTCAGGGCTTCCTGCTTGCTAAACTACGCTCTAGCCTTTTCTTATGTTGGTTATATTCAAGGAAGGGTCCAGTTTTTATACCCAAGGCCAGCCTGGGCTGCCATCCTCCTACTTATGCCTTTCTGGGATACTGGGGCCATCAAGCATGCACCCTTGTGTCCGTGTAAAGCCAGCAGGGATTGAAAATGGTTCAGCATTTTGAAAAGTAATGTGGTAGTCTACTGTAAAATTAACCAGACACTGCCATAAAATACAGGTACATATCCAAGAGAAATAAAAACAAAAGTCCATTGAAAAGCTTTGTAGCTGGCACTGGTGGCTCACATCTGTTATCCTGGCTACTTGGAGGCTGAAATCTGAGGATCACAATTCAAAGCCAGCCTGGGTGGGAAAGTCTGTGAGACTCTTGTCTCCAATAAAAAGTAGAACTGGAGCTGTGGCTCAAGTAGAAGGGCATTAGCATTGAGCAAAGCAGCTCAGAAACAGTGCCCAGGACTGGCACACACACACAAAGCTTTGTACATGAATATTCATATTGTTAACGAAAGTCATATTGTTAACGAAATGAGTGCCTTCCTATAGCTTAGTCCATTCCTTCCCTTCTCCATAGCTTAGCAAGCTCCCTTCCTAGGCAGCTCTAGGCCCATGTACTAAAGGCAGTAAATAATCAACTTCCAACTCCCTTTACCTTGGGATGGCACTTCTCTGGGACAGCTACCACCGTATAAGGCAACAAGAGCACCTTACAGTGACCTTCAGGTCTGGGCAGTTGCAAGATCCTTATCTACCATTTGATAGCAGCCATAAATTCTAGTCCAACATGATGAAACCCCTGGCCCGCATGTCCATACCAGGGTCTCCACTTCCTAGCCCCTTCTAGCCCCTCCTAAACCCCCTAGGTTATATAGGTCACCCCAGACAATAGCTGGTGCTTCTTCTCATTCCTCCATTGTGGGAAGGAGTCTTGCCGGCCCCTTTCTGGGCAATAAACCTTTCTTTGTTCTCTGTACCTGGTGGTTCTCTGGCAAAGTCTATTAAACTATTAATCTTAATTTTGCTAACACATATAAATTTTATATCACATGAATGCAAATTCTGATACAATAACAAAATGCAATCTTTTTATAGATACCACTCAAAACTTTGAAGATAATAAGACTTTATGATATATATGAAATTCCATAAAAGGTAAAAATATACAGTGTCAGAAAGCAGACCAGTGTTTCTCTAGGGCCTATGAAGTCATAAAGGAAAAATTTTCTCTATAGAAAAGTTCTCTAGGAGCTGGGCACTGGTAGCTCACAGCTGTAATACTAGCTACTCAGGAGGCTGAGATCTGAGGACTGAGATTCAAAGCCAGCCCAGGCAGGAAAGTCCATGAGACTCTTATCTCCAATAAACCACTAGAAAACTGGAAGTGGTGCTGTGGCTCAAGCAATAAAGCGTTCGTCTTGAGCACAGGGACAGCAGCGTTCAAGCCCCATGACTGATCAAAAAGGAAAAAAAAAAGTTCTCTAGGCTCATCTATCATGATAGTGCCCATTTTATGTTGTATAATTCGTATCTCTACAAGTATAAAGAACTTGCTTGGCCTATTCCCTACAGAGTCCCTGTGGACCCTTTCTCAACTGAGAAGTGAGAGATCTGTCCTCTCTTATGTCTTGTGTAACTGTAACAAAATGCTTGAAGCTTAGTATTTTTTTTTTTTTGTCAGTCGTGGGGCTTGAACTCTGGACCTGGACACTGTCCCTCAGCTCTTCAGCTCAAGGCTAGGGCTCTACCACTTGAGTCATAGCACCACTTCCAGTTTTCTAGTGGTTTATTGGAGATAAGTGTCTCATGGACTTTCCTGCTCAGGCTGGCTTTGAATGGGGATCCTCAGATCTCAGCCTCCTGATTAGTTAGGATTATAGG